TATAAAATTATTCGCAAAAAAATCAATAAGCAATTTCAACACAAGTTCAACAAAAATTGGTTAAAAATTAATAAAAACAATGTAATTTCTTGACACAATTTCAACAAAATTTCAACAAAATTTTAACACAATCACAGGGGTATTATTTAGTCAATACATCAAAATTTTTTGTGATTATGATGTTATTTTATTCTGTAAAAAGTAAAAAAAAACTGTAAATATTATTGCGTAATCTCTTAAATTACTATTCTATTATAGTAATAAATTTATCGAGATTAGTTTATTTTGAAGAAATAAACTGTTGTTTTAAAGCTTTTTTTCTAAGCTTTTTAATAGACCTTAACTCTTCCTTTTTCATACCAAAAGATTTTTCTTATTGCTTTAAATATAAAATTACTTTATCATAAGCCTTAATAACTTTTCTAAAAGTAATTATTAGTGATAAAAAATCTTCCTCTCTTTCATCTTCTTGATCAGATAAAACTGCTTTTAAAATTTCTTCGTCAGATATCATTTCATCTCACAGGTTGAATGATTGTATATCAGTGATAAATCAGAAACCTGATTCTTTACTGGCTTTACTATTGCATGATTCTAGTACTTGAATCTGATTGTGCACTAATCCTTTATACATTTCTGAACAAAGCCATTAAACTATCAGTAAACTATTTTTCATAAATATTGTAATTAATCAGTGAAGAATTAGGTTTCTGATTTGTCACTGATATATGTCTAATAGATATTCGAATATTTCATAATCTAAATGAAATATCAGGTATAAACATAATAATTATTATAAACTTATCAGATATCAGATAGCCCTTCCATAGGTATTTGACAATTGTTGTATTTACATCTGATATCATTAAAAATCATAAAGGATCATAAAGTGCCGAATACTTAATTTTTACTAACTTGGAAAGCATGTCATAAGTATCACTCAAATATAAGGTTAATAGTAAAACTAATATTTGCATTATTTTTTATTGTAGCATTATAATACTTTTCTGATTCTTTTAATTACATATAATATTATTACATTAGTATCTATCTATAAAATCATCTAATGCATACAAGCAATATAATAGAAACTGACTACAACTAATTGGTTACACTAGAACTTTCATGATTGTTCTGTTACAAGTTGACTGAATTATCGTAGGTTTGCATTTAATCAATTGTTACCATAATACAACTTCCACTTCCACTTCAACTATCGTCTTAGTTCTTATTTTCTTCAAGGCGGTATGATTGCAACACTAACCATTCTGAAACTTGTTCTAGAAGTTTAAATTGATCTATCCACTTAATATCATCATACCAACGATGACGTACAATTTTGATGTGACTTATTTTTTCTTTAACTTTATCGGCCAAACGAAGAATTTTGTGAGCCTGTTAAAAATAAAGAGACAATAACAAATAAGAAATAATGATAAGGTGCAATTCAAAATATTTTAGCACTTACACGACATGATCTCCAAGGCTTGTCATATACACGAAGAATGTACTTATCATTTTCTCATTTGTTTTTTGGATGAACACGTTCTTCAATTTTCGTATTTACAAGTTCGTCATCAGTTTCAGATATTTCATCACTATAAAAGTCTCTTTTGTTCATTAAATCTTTACAACCTTTCTTAAAATCTTTTCAAGTTAAAGAAGATGGTTGTAGTTTTTTAAGTAAAACATCATCAGTATTAAACATATATGAAATGCCTTTTTGTCTTCTTTTCTTTTTCTATTGTAAATCAAATAAATAAATAATAATAATATAAGGTTTACTGGGTAGACATTACAAAAAGTTAATACTCACATTCCCTTACGAGAATTTGTCCCTTTTCTTCTTTTTCAGTCTTGACCTTTTCTGAATCAAGTTTGATTTTTTAATTATCGCAGTGATACTGGTGTAACTGTTGTAAAACCCACTTCAATTCTTTGTCATTATAATAAAATCTTCCTTGTATAAGCTTTACTGATTACTTTTATCATTTTCTTCAACACTTTATTGGAGATTTCCTACCATTTTTTAGATGGATCAAGCTACAATGATTTGTCAAGCCCATTAAGAATCTGTACAACTTCATCCTTAAAAAATATACGTACAGTTATGAATATAATTTAAAATAACAGATTGATAATTGCTTGATACTTACATAGAATAACTTGTACTGTTTTTCATTCATGTCTTCAAGAAGATTCTGAATATGATGACGATATCTGGTTACTTATTCTGGACTAACAGATATGTTTCTACAAGAAGTTGATTTGGCTAATGACTCGACTGATGTTTCTTTTTCATATCAAGACCACTGAGAGGGTTGAGAGTGTTAAAATTGTTGAGCTTTAAGACTTTGAACTTCTTCTACAAGTGTACTTACTGACAACATTGCTTAAAGCTTCAATGTCTATAAAATGAAAATTTTGGTGATATTATTAATAATTATATTTTTTTAAAAAATCAATTAATGATCGTAATGATTTCCATTTGACAGATACCAGCATTCCTATAACTTTTATTACTTCTTGAATTCTGACGTGTTGGTGAACGTCTTCTTTGAATACTTGGAGATCGACTTCTATAACAGCTTCTTAAGTAATTTAAGCTATCTCTTCTTGTAGAATGAGAATAACTTCTTAGAAGATAATGATGATTGTATCTTGACATTGAGGTTAGATGATAACGTTTGTGCGGTGACATTAAATGTATAGTAATGGTTGTTTTAATCTAAAGATCTTAAATAATATTCCCTGATAATTTTATTTAAAAAGTCTTCTACTATATATATTAACTAAAATTTGATGAGAAGTTGATAATTATATTTAAACAAAAATAGTATGAACAGAAAGCTCAATAGAAAAAATGAACCTTTTATATATGTATATTTTTTTTTCTTTCTGTAAACAAATATAGTAAGTGAAGTGAGAAGAAAAAAAAAATATGGGTCTATGTCTACTTGTTCACATTATTTATAATTATTTTAGATTTCTGTTTAAACTTCTTATATCAGAATAAACTTTTTTTTTATGACTCCATAATTTATGCATTATTTAGTCCAAACGATAAAATTAACATAATACATAAAATATAGAGAAGTTAAATAAAATCTAAACTAAAAAATTCATGCAGTGACCAGAATAAATTTTTGATGTAAAAATTATTAATTTATTGAATTTGATTTATTGATGATCTAACAATGTATCTAACAATGTATCATGTGAAAGATATTGTATTACCTAATAATGGTATAATAATTGAAAAATAAACTATATAAAATTATAAAAAGTGAATTTTTTATTATTTATTATTGAATTTTACGATGTCAAAAAACTATCGAAAAACTAAAAAATCCTTTATAAAAGATTCTAATGAACCATCTGTTACTTCTGATAGAATAAGAAAGGTTCAATGTTATTGTGTTACATTTAAAAGTCGTTTGTTTCACCATAAACAAAAAAAAATATGAATCAAAAATTGATATTAAACCAAGAGGAATCATTGAAGATATACCAACAGTTGAATCATCTAGAAAACTAAGCCAGGATATATCGATAGATCTTTTAGAAGCTGACATCTCAAGCGATAATGATCTAGAAATAGAATCAATCTATCAAGAAGTAGAATCGACCTATTGAGAAGAAATAGAATTGATCCAAGAAGAAAGTTATTCATTTCTTCTTAGGAAACAATCAAAAGACAATTCAGAAGGCAAAAAAAGGGTCAGTGGTGGGATTGTTAAGAATGTTAATTATCCTATAGTTATTATTGAACAGGATATTTCTGATAATGATGACGATAATGATGATGGTAATAATGATGGTAAAAGTAGCAATAACGAAAATCAGGATAATAGTGACTTTGATTTTGTCAAAAAAGAACTGTTTAGTGGGTTTGCTGCGCTAGAATATGCATACAGCGATGATGATCTGAAAGTACCTATCATCGATTTTAACGAAAGTTTTCATTAGATCATTTATAGATTTTATTATACTAAGAGAGGTATTGACTGTCCAATATAGCTACTGATTCTCTGATCAAATTTATTAGATATCTTTTGATTCTTCTGGATACAAATACATACAAATTTTTTTTAACATCATTATATATAGCTCGTAAGAAACTTGGCATTTGCACTCATATTATCAAATATGCAGCATGTGAAAAATATTGCAAATTGTACAATAGAATAGAAATATCAACTGATAAATCTTTCCAAGCTCTGGTCTTAAGTCATTGTATCTATATAGATTTTTCAAAACATCTAATGGCAAACAAAAGAGAAAAATGTGGAGCCAAATTTAATAAGAATATTCCCATTACAGGTGGAATAATATACCAACTATTTATGATATTTCCAACTATTAGTTTAAGACATTAATTACAATTGATATATGATCGTAGAGAATTTGAAGAATCGTGTAAAAAATAGGCAGATCAATGTAATAATTCTTGATACTTGAACAATATTTACAATGAAAAAATTTGGAAGACCTTTCGTGATCTAAATGAAAATCTACCTTTTTTCTGAAAAGAGGTATCAGACTGTCATTTGGAGATTATGCTAAATCTAGATTGGTTTCAGCCATTTGAAAACGTTAATTATAGCGTTAGAGTTATCTATGATGTAATTTGCAACCTTCCAAGAATCAAGAGGTTTAAGCCATCAAACATTATAACAATGGCTTTGATTCCTGAGCCTAACAAATCAAAATTACACTATGTGAACCATTATTTTGCTTCTTTAGTCGATTAACTAATTGAATTATGAAACAGAATAGAGCTTTTAATAATATATGGGGCTAAGCTATTAAAATCACCTTACGGAATAAGAAATTAATTTTGAGTAAATAATGATTAAAAAATGCTACGCCACAGTAAACATTTTCAACTAATAATAAATTGTTCTATTTTTAAATATTAAGTCAAATTAATTATTAAGACGATACTAAAATTTATTATTTAAAATTTTTACTATTAAATTATTATTTTATAATATTTAAAATTTTGCTATTATAAAATATATAAATTTTATTATTTAAAATTATTTTACAGGACTAATTTTTGTAAAACTTGAAATCAATTTCATAACACTTGAGATTTTGCTATTAAAATCACCTTACAGGACATTGTTACACTAATTGTTCTAAAAAAAAAAGAGGAATTTTTTAATAAAAAAATTTTTTCTGGGGGGTGGGTATTCATACCCCCAGACCTCCCATTCAAACACACATTCAAACTATTAATAATGGTTTTAATTAAAGTTAAAAAATTTTGAATTTTATAAGTGATCTGAAACTTTTTTAACTTTTTAAATAATAATGTCAATTATTTCCAAATTTAATATCGATCATTTCTAAATCTAATTTTAAATTGTTTGACTGATGTTATACAAAAAAATGAGAAATTTTGATGGCCTAATTGCTTGTTTTATTAATAAGATAATTGACTATAAAAATTTAAACAAATAAAGTTTATATATCATATAATAATATGAATCAAAAATCTCAATTTTAGTTAGTGGGGTCCTGTAAGGTGATTTTAATAGCTTAGCCCCCATATGAAAGTTCTAATGGTAAACCTATTCGAGTTGCAATAATCTGCTATTCCTGTGATATCCCAGCTGCCTGAAAATTATACAGGTTTATATCAGTATGCGTTGCTTGTCACAGATGTTTAAAGCATATACAATACAACAATTATAAACAACTGAATTTTAGGGGATTTACCAATATTAAAGAGTGGTTTATTGAAAGGGATGTAAATCAAATTTGAGAAAATACACAAAATGGTTAGATTGTAATACCAAAGAAGCTAGAAAAAATCACAATCGTGATACTTTGATCCAATGGTTCAAAATATACTGGCTCCAGTATTTTGATTCAATGCGATTTCTTGTTGTAGATCTTATGCACTGCTTGTTTTTGGGTGTTGCTAAAAATGGATCATAACCTAATTATGGATTGAGAAAGGTAAATTAACACTACAAAACTAGAAAAAATGCAGGAATGAGCCAATAAAATAAAAGTTCCATCAGATATCGGTAGAATCCTGAATAAAATAGTAACAGGTGAAGGTTTTTCAGGTTTTATCGCAAACCAATGGAAAACTTTTATCTTGATCTATGCAACTTTCATTACATGAGATCTACTTGAAGAATCAGATCAAACAATTCTTGCCAATTTTGTCTGAACATGTAATATTCTCGTGTATCAGTCAATCTCTAAGGATGGATTAGAGGAAGCTCACAATCATCTTCTAAAAATGGTAAAGCTTATCGAAGTGAATTATGGACCAGAAAAAATCACATCAAACTTACATTTATACTTACATGTATGTCAATATGTATTAGACTATGGTCCATTATATGCATTTTAATGCTTTAGTTATGAATGAATGAATGGTTTGTTAGATAAAATATTGTGTTTCTTATACCAATATGTATCGATAGATTGTTGAGTTCTTTTTAACATTTTATCTTATAGGCTCATATCATAACAGTAATAGAAGAATTGAACCAAAATTACTAAAACAATCCAGTATAATTCTCTTCTCAAATATTTTTCATCTCATATTCAAAAACATCCACATTTATCAAATTATTTGCCTTTGATAATACCAAAAAAGGCTACTGGTAGTCTTGTAGTTCAAGATGAGTTTAATGAAAGAGATTATCAGAAATTCTTATCTATGTCCAAAAATATAGAAGAAAGCGCAGAAGCAGGTTCAGAAACCTTTTCTGATGCCTTTCTTAATCTGAAAAAAGTGGACATGAACCTTGCAGAAGAAGTAATAATTTTATTAGCTGAATATTACCGTAATACATATGATAAAGATTTTGTATTATTGTCAGAGAATCATCTCTCTGATGCTATACCAATACTTCTAAAGGTAAATGTTTACAGGCAGTTACAACTTGATGCTGAAGTTTTTAGATCAATATATTCAAAAGGGCATACTAAATCGGCTAAGATTTTAGCATAATTTACTCATGGAGATACTAAAAATACTTATGCTAGTGTAGTTCAATATTATTTTAAACATACTATACTTTCTGAAACTAGAAGGTTCTAAAAAACATTCTTTAGTATTTGTGAGGTGGTGTTTATCAGCAGAGAATTATAAAACTAGATTCTATTGCAAGATTAATGGTGATGACAATTCTTGCAATATTGAGTTATGGAAAAATATTTTACGATCTTAGTAGAGATTATATAATTTCAGTGCATAGTATATTGGATCAGTTTGTTGAGAGTTCTTTTTTAATAGGCAAAAGAGAATCACGAAAATACATAACAGTAATACCAATAAATAGAAGGATTCATATCTAACATCAGGACATACAGTGGTAAGCAAAAGAAACGCAACCACTATTGGTTACCTTTAAAAGCTTATAACAGGTTAACTATGAGGGCTAAAATCATAATT